AGCCCATGCGTAGGAAAAGACATGTTTTACAGTGGGCGGCTACCTGTAACTGTTTTTACACTAGACGACTTATAGTAATCTTAGTCGTCGGGGGTATCGAGGGTATATTAAAGCTACTGCATATTTGCGAATAAGTAAAATACCCTGTGAAGCACACGGATGGAGGAGCTACCCGGACACTTCATTAGTAGTCCCTTACAGTTTCATGCTGGCATTCGAAAATGATGCGGAAAGTTTGTTTGAGCAAATTATATAATTTTGCATCTGCTCCCTCCCAATTTTCCGTATAATTAACCGTAAAACAAACCTAAATAAAACATTAACTACACATTTGCGGTACTTCCGAATAATTGAAGCTGTGCTCTTGACGAAGATGAAATTTTAATAATAATGCGCCTCATTATATTTACGTAACTGTATATAATTGTGTTCGCGAAAAAAAATTTAAATACGCCGAGATATTAATTCCAGCAGCTTCGCTCTTTTGTTTACCGATGCCGCTTCGTTAATGAACAACAGTACGTATAATTAGTCTTATTCTGGACCCACACAAAAAATTGTATCGTTGCACCCCAAATACGAATTGTGTAAATAATTCTTTTTGAGAATTTCGAGTGTGTTAACTAATTAATTATTAAAGCAAACGGTTGCCGTACTGTGTTTTTATTACTTGTGTACTCTACGTGAGGAAATTGTAAACTGGGGTCTATTTAGTTTTAAACTTAGGAAAGTTAGTAATCGATAAAATGTTAATAACATAAACGTACTACCGAGAAGGTTGGTTACTTTGCAAATATTTACAAAGCAATTTGCATAAGCGAACTACAAATAATTTTGAAGAGTGAGAATGCCACCATCAGCAAACTGATTTAAAGGAAGATGCATTAGGTATATTACCAATACAAAGCATTGGCCACAAGATTAGAATACGCACTCGTCTAATGGAAAAAATTGATTAAAATATCAACATAGCAGTCGCTCATAGATGTTTTTTTTTGTTTAAATAATTTTGCCAAGAACAGTTTGCTTTGCACTTCTGGAAAATTAGTTTTAAGTACCCCATTCAGAGGTGGCTATCCTTTAGAATGATTTTTTCACATTGCTTCAAAGGTTCATTAATTTTAGTGAGAGTATGAAAATAAATGGAAAGGAAGAAAACTGAGAATGTTTAGAAATGGCCGAGAAATTTATTAGTTAAGATTACCCTTAAGAAATTCCAATTTATAAAATCAATGTTGTGGGGTGAAATTCTAGTAGCTAAATATGACAACGTTGATACACATAATCACATTTTTAAAATACCATATCAAATATACCCAAATAACTTGTAATGGCTTAGTTAGATTTACAAGGGTTGAAGATCCTACATGCATTAAATGAAATTAAATCTTCGCGGCATAGGCAAAAATTTCAATTTGACACTTTGTTCTTGAAATTGAAGCAAATCACTGACTTGCAAGTAGTCAAAACATTTTATTTCTCAAATTTTGAATCATTGCTGAGATATGGTGTAGGTTTTTGGAGATAATTCAACAAATGTTACACGAATTTTTATTCTACAGAAAAGAGCAATTAGCCTAATGTGCAATCTAAGCTTTCGACGTGCATTTGATTTCATCGAAGCGTATTTCAATCATTCATTTTGTGATTTCTTTACGTGTTAGTTGTAGAATATCGTTATCTTTTACAGTTTTATTAAGTACTTGTTTTATTGGTTACAAACCACGTTTCATTTGATTTGTCCTATATCCAGAAATTGTAATCTATTGGATTAATAAACATGTACACGTTTTTATCGCTCTTAATTCCAGACATACTTTAGTTCACGTTCGCTATGAAGAGGTATATGTTAAATTTTTCTATGTTAAAATAAAAGGTTAAGCGACCGCCACAAACTCTAATTTTTTTATGGGTTTATGGACGATAAAAGAGATGAGGTCCTTACAGCAACCATGAACTTTAAACGTTACATGTAAATGGGAATCTTCGCCCGACGGCAAATTTTCTTCGTTGGGACTTCGACGAATGCCAAAAGCTGTGGAACGCAGTTATTTTATGAATTCTAGTTATAGAAAATTGCAAAGAAACTACAATTTCCATTAGTGTAACTGTATGGGGTTAATTAGTTCGTACTGCAACTTAATAGCACTTATCAAAAAGGTGAAATACGATACGATTCTCAGACTTTATGGTCCTATGGTTCCTAAAGTAATTGAGAAACAAAGACCTCACAAAAAACAAGCATGCATAAAGATATACACATCTTCTGCCTTGAAATCGACCAATTTATTCTTCAAATTCTAACCAAAAAACCGAGCCAAAAATGATCCGTCACATCTGGAAACTAATTTCGATCCCCTAATTTTTTACAACCAGAAATTTTCGAATGATGCTCAATACTTTACTCAAATCCACAATATCACAATTTTACATTTTTATAAATGAATTGATTGCACCAAATTAAAAAAAGTTTACAGGTTGTATCTAATTTCATTTTAAGTACAGAGATCTCACATATTAACATAGATAGAGAGTTGGTTAAATGGGCAAAAATGATCCTCGAGTTATGCCTAAATAAAATCAAAAAAACCAAAGTTAACTCCTTTAAAGTTTTCTAAATATGGCGAAAACTACCATAATTGACGTTCTTGATTTTTGGCTTTTAAATCGGGATTTGGGGAGGTATTTAAAAACTAAAATGAAGTTTTTCTGTTCTTTTAGGTGATGGAAATGAATTTTCGTTATCATTAATAAGTACTTTGATACCAATTTTTGTTTTTCATGAGAGCCACTTTGAAATTTTAGGACAACTAATAGAGAAAAATCATGATTTCAAAAAATACGGAAGCTATACAATTTGAGAATACTTTAGGAAAGAAATTGAACAATGCCACATGAGAGCAGGCCGTTCGAAAACATTCCTAATTCAAAAAATTAGTCTGGCCATTCAGCGCGGCAATGCTGCTAGTGTTATGAGCACTTTTCCTTCTACAATCTCTTTAGATGAAATTTTCTTCCTCTCTTAAATCTTAAAACCTTTTTTAAATGTTCGAATTATTTTATATAATATTTAAATAAAATCAAATCAATTTGTGGAAATATTTATATTACATTATGTTTATAAAATATCAAAAATAAATTCAAAATTAAAAGAAAAACATTTTGAGTGACATTTTATTTAGTTTCAATAATAGCAACATCCATGGATTATATTAAACGCAAAAAAAAGCAGTAGGTTTCCTTAAATCTCCTCGAATTAATTTATTTTCAACCAACCGGCGCTCCTGCGTATAATGTGCGAGTTCTCCAGAATTATTTAAACCGAAAATTCGCAGATAGATAGTTAGGAACAAATGGATCCAAATTTTGACCTACGAGATCTCCGAATCTAGCACTGTTAGATATTTTTACTTTAGAGCTTACGTTAAAGATCAGGTATATTCTGTAACTTTGAATTTACCATTGAAGAGTCGAGGGAGAGAATTATCACTGCATATAGAAATTGTTCGAGGGTTCACATTAGACGTGGTTCAGAAGAAGTTTTGAGAGGATGCGTAGTGGTTCTAGAAAATCAAGGGGTCAATTTGAACGTTTATTATAGTTTTTCGATTCGATTATTGAAAATGTCACTTAAAATTTTGTTCTTTTATTTTTGAACTTATAGATAATATTATAGATTTTTTGTAAATACCTCCCCAAATAAGTATAATATTTTGAAGTGAAAAATCAAAATTTATCTTATTTTTCGCCATATTCAGGAAACTTTGATATAGTTTATGGCGGCCGATACGGTCGGTGTTTCTAATGCTCCTAGTAAACCGTGTAAAAAATGTAATAACGTACCCGTAAATGGTCTTAAGTGTGTTACATGTGCATCACTAATACACCCGGGATGCATTAAATACTTAAAAAACGTTGTTATGTTAACTGATACTACGGTAAATTGCTGTGTAAATAATGCGAATATTGAAATCGTGCAAAATAATGACAAGGACATCGACGCAATGGATAATAAACTTAATGTAAGTAATTCCACTGAAGTACATTATTTAAAGGAAATAATTAAGCAAAAAGACTTCTCAATTAAATGTTTAAATGACACGGTTAATGCCCTAAGGGAACAACTTAAACTGATAAACTTTTTTCAAAATTCTACCTTGACTACAAATTCAAATGGCGAAAAAAGTCATCCCAAAAATCTTAAGACAGAGGCTAAATCTAATAGCTCAACAACAGGTAAAGACAAGAAAAAATCATATGCCAATGTGGCGCAACATGCCCAAAACGAGTCTAATCAAAGTAACAAGGACGGTAACCTCGACGGTAACAGTTCCATGAACTTTCAACTCAGTTCTGCACCTAATCAGAAAGATACGCCACACGTTTCCACACAAAAGGACAAACCTAAAGACAAAATAACGCCGCAAGCTATCAGTGGATTTGCTTCTGGTCCTGGCGATTCTACGGACGAAACCGCAAAAAACAACCATTTCACTACAGTAACGAGGCACAAACGGTCCCTCAAACCTCGCACTCTCTTATCAGGAAGCGCGACAAATGGAACGCTACTGGGAGTCCAAAAGAGGATGCATTTCCACGTATGTCGGTTGCACCCCAACACGAATGAGCAAACTCTCATTGAGTACCTACGAAAAAATGCAATTTTAGATGCAGAAGTGGTAAAGCTGACTTCCAAATTTCCTGACATATATTCCTCGTTCAGAATATCTGTGGAGGAAAATTTAAAGGACACTGTACTAAGAGCAGACTTATGGCCCTCAGGCGTTCTCATTAACCGTTTTTTCTGGAAGCGTCCGCAGGCAGAGGACCAAGGATAACGCAAACCATTTCAACAGCGAGTAACCGCATATCGGTGTTCAATATTAACATACAGTGTTTAAGGTATAAGGTGAATGAACTTGAGGCGTTTTTTGGTGACATTAATTCGACCATTCATTTTATCTGTGTAAGTGAGCACTGGCTCACTAATTCAGAGGTAAATGGAGGGTTCCAAGTGGGGCCATGGGGATTTGCGTCTGCTTTTTGTAGATCGGTAAGTGTGCACGGTGGAGTCGCAGTCTTGATAAACTCTAAGTTAAATCTAAGTTGTTCTGCAATTGCCGATATTAGTGCATTGTCATGTGAGTTACACTGTGAATTGTCAGCAATCTACTGTGCCACGTATAATGTAGTGATCATATCACTGTATAGATCACCGTCGGGAGACTTTGACATATTTTCTGACACCCTTACTTCGATGCTACAGTCTTTAAATCACACTACGGGTATTATAATAGCAGGGGATTTCAATGTAAACTTTAACACTCAAGACCCTACTGCATTGTTCATCACAAACTTGCTAGCAACTTATGGGTTTGTGCAAACAGTTAAAGAACCTACTAGACTCTTGAACTGCTTGGACAACATTTTTATCAATTTTTCTACCAATGACTTCTACACAACTATAATGAACACTAGACTATCTGATCATCAGGGACAAATGTTAACAGTGAGTAGAGACAGTAAAGTGCGTGATACCCAACTAGAGTCAAAATGTTATAGACCTATTACTAAAAGGGGTAATAATTCCCTGTTTAACATGTTGAGTAATTTTAGTTGGCATTATCTAGCTGATATTAACTTAGATGTAAAAGCTAAATTTAATATTTTTCACGGCAACTTTCTTGATGCGTTTTCAATTGCATTTCCGAAACGAAAGCTGTCGACCAGAAAGCGTGACTCGGGAATTAAATGGTTCACTAAAGAAATTAAGTTGCTGAGAGACAGGTTTCACTTTTTTACTGACTTTTACAACCAGTATAAAACGGAATCACTGAAACGCATACGAAATACTTGTCGTGCGCAGTATAGAAATGCTATTAAGAATGCGAAAATTAATGCTTGTGATAAGGTAATTCGTAATTCTGCAAACCCATGCAAAATGATGTGGACTATGATTAATAATCAGAGAAACAACGTTAAAACGACCAACTCCCTAAACATGAGAGCTGATCAAATTAACAAACATTTTATAAGCGTCGTGGAGGACAAAGTGAAACAGCCACTAGCATCCGCTGTTGATTCTCTTGCTATCGCTAGTGTCAAATTTAGTGACGTTCACTTTCAAATAAAGGAAGTAACTCCATGTAAAGTAAGAGACGTGATCAAGTCGTTAAAGAGAAGTAACACTAAAGATATTTATGGAATCTCATCCTGTATTATCAAGTATAGTATTGATCAACTAGTTCTGCCCTTAACGAAATTGGTCAATCTTACACTACTCTCCGGATATTTTCCTGATGAGCTGAAAGTAGCACAGGTCATTCCATTGTTTAAATCGGGAGATTCAAAAGATATAAAGAATTATCGACCAATATCAATACTCCCTACGTTCTCAAAAATATACGAAAAAATAATCTACAATCAAATTGCCGATTATTTTGAATCAAATAATCTCTTACATCAGAATCAGTATGGATTCAGGAGTCAAAGAAACACGATTAGTGCACTCTCTAAATTTGTAAATAGTACTCTAACCTGCTTCGAACATGGTCAATATTCTCTAGCACTGTTTTTAGACCTATCGAAAGCCTTCGATAGCGTCTCTCATAAAATATTGCTAAGTAAATTAGAAATTATGTACAAGTTTGACACGAATAGCCTAAAGTTAATTCATTCGTATTTGTCTGGCAGATTTCAGCATGTGGTGTACGATGGAGTGGTGTCTGACAAATTACCTATTAAGAGAGGGGTACCACAGGGATCAATTTTAGGTCCCTTATTATTTTTAATATATTTTAACGATTTTGTGCAGTACATGCAACCGCACGCTGATTGCATTCTGTATGCAGATGACTCCACTTTAACTGTACAGCGCGGCACTTTAGAAGAAACTTTAGTTTTAAAAGACAAATTAATTTCGATTGCTTCTGAATGGTGCACAACCAACGAATTAATATTAAACACAAATAAAACTGAAAAACTGCTCCAAACGTTAAAAACACATTCTTTTGAAAATCCCCAGTCGGTAAAATTTCTAGGGGTGTATGTGGACGGAACTTTAAACTTTTCAATGCACGCAAGGTATATTTGTAAAAAAATAAGCAGCAATATTTACGTACTACGACGTCTTAGTAACAGTTTATCAAAATAAACCTTAGTAGCGGCCTATTATGCTCTAGTACACTCAGTAATACAGTACGGTATACTAATTTGGGGCAACTGTGCTGCAGCAACAGATGTTTTTGCACTTCAGAGACGAGCTGTAAGGATAATTGACTCCGTACCCTATAGAGACGAATGCAGGAAATCATTCCGTTCCCTTAAAATATTAACGCTGCCATCCATGTACGTGTTGGAATGTATTTTATTTGCTAAAACGAACTATGCCAAATACAAAATTCAATCTGAACTGCATAGTTACAATACTAGAAATAAGAACAACATTAGAGTGGATTACTGTAGATTATCAAAAACTCAAAATAACCATGACTACCTATCTCAAAAAATATTTAATTTACTGCCTGAAAATGTTCAAATGTATAACAAAAAACAATTAACAACAATAATTAAGAAATACCTATTTGATAAGGCATATTTTTCAGTGCACGAATGTTTAACCGAAGGCTTTACCAATATTTTACACGCAGGTGGTGGCATAAACTGAAGTTGTGTTGTTTGTCTATATTATGTGTGATATAGTGTGTTATATATTTTAATTTTAAGAAACTAGTTGACAAATGTAATATCCGTGATAAAGCATAAAATAAATAAAAATGAAAAATGAAAATGAAAACTTTAGAGAATCAGAAACGGTAATTTTTGTTTTTTGATTTTATTTTGGCATAACTGCGGGATCATTTTTGTCCATTTAAACGACTCTCTATGTATGCTAATAGCGAGATCTCGGTACACGAAATTTGATACATTCTGTATATTGATAAACAATGTGCCACAAGACCCCCTTTTTAAATTAAAATTCAAAGGAGTGCTAAAGAGGTTAATATTTCATATATTAAAAATAAAAATCGGCCTAGCCACAGTGCAACGAATTTAATCTGATTTCATATAAGAAAGAGATTTGAATCTGCAAATGGTTTGACTTTAGATTCAAATTTCAAGTCCCTCCATTCCCCTTAAACAAATAGTCCAGACTAAGAATTGTTGCTAAAAGCAATACAAGCTGTGTCAAACGAATAATTGTAAGACTAGACCCACGTTTCCAAATATTGACCAGAGACATAAAAAATGTGCAGGGAAGCAACACGAATTGATTTTTTTTTTAATCCTTATTTATAGGTAATTTTGTTCGGAAAGCCATGTCAGCATCTAGAAAATTCTATGCTTTTCACTATTTACTAATTAAATGACAAAAAACGGCGTGAAACTATTTCAATTTTGCACCAACATTAATTATGAAAATCCTCTTAAGTTTAATTAAAAAAAGTGGGTTTAGTGTAACATAATCATCATAAATACTGTTCGATGATTAAAGTGACTAGCAAAGCGAAATGCCGCCATTATGATGATTGTATATACCGATGCCTTAACAAAGGCGTCTGTTTTATAAATTTATTAAAATATGATAATGTAAGCAAATAATTTCTAGTAGAATAAAAATTGCAATCAATAACAGTGCTTCCAGTAACAAATGTCGCATGAACTATATAAATTGCTTTCATCCCTCTATTACAATAAATAAAATCCGTTTATTCCACCTCGGCAGCTCACTGGTAACAAACAATAAACCATCTCTTGGCGATACGTCAATATATAACCAAAGCTTGCTTACAAAGGATATTTTATTATGCGAAAACAATAATCGTTACAAATAAGGATCAGATACATCCCTTTGTTACGATCAATTTAATTTGGTTCCATAAGACTGTCTCAAAGGCTTTGTATTTAAATATTTATATAAAAAAGGAGTTCTCCGCAAAAATATTAAATTGGAAGGTTTTAACGAACCTGACTGCGTTTCAACGTGTACTCTTATTTGAAGAAAATTGTCTGACAAATTGGTACTGATTGCGATCGCTAGTCGAATTACGAATAATGCAATGTAGTTCGTTAAGGAAGTCACTTGTATCAGAGCAAATTTTGAATGCATGTGTTAGTTATTTGCATGTTCTCGGTCTTTTGGCCGTCTTAACTGTAATAATGAATGTTGTTGTATGGCCCCATGTGACAATTTCGGTAGTTTTCAGTTTAGAATATAACCAACTAATAGCTATCTATACATTATCTAGGATCGAATATTATTTCCGCGTCAATTCCCTTCCAAGTTTCTGACACAATTAAACAAGATGTTACTTTGGAACTTCGATTTGCCGAAACTCGGATTCGCCGTTGTATATAACTTTACTGTAAATTTAATCTTCGAACTGCTACAAAAGAGAGATTGTTATTGTCAAAATAAAAGGAACAAGTATACAGCACTCGGAGCGATAGTGGTATAAGAATGGAAATTCATATAATAAACTTAGGGTGTTTAATATTATGCAATTTACAACAATTTCATTCAATTTACTCTTCCGTGGGCATCGGAAACATTTTGTTTATACCAACCCAAGAAATCAAGAATCACAGCTACTAAACGCACGAAATTTTTGCATGTGTTTGCAGATTAGAAGTTTTTGTATGTTGGTTTGTTATGTAGGTTTCTTTTATGTTATGTCGATTTTCAATGCAATTTGGGCAGTTTTTTTACAAGATTTTCTATCTGTGTAGAAAATCCACTGACCGACATGTATCTTTCGAAACGCTGTTTCTGTTTGGTTTTCAAAGCATGATACAATGAATATTTTATTTCCTAGAATTTTGTAATCTGCCAGATAACTGAACACTAGCATTTAGTCCGTCGTGGAAATATTAAGATACGTTTTCAGTTTCTTCAAAATCTCTTATACGTGACACGCAATTAAAATTGGCTCAACGTAATTTGATAAAAGCGAATAACGAACAATAATTATTCAAGATTTGCATTTACCCTTACATTCTCATGTATCTTATTCCGCTTCTCCCTTTCGGCAAAGGAATTACATCGAAAAGGGTAAGTGCAAGATTAAGTAGAATTTACAGTCCATTTCAATATACAACAATTACTTTCTTGAAACAGTGTTTACTGAATCCGGTGGTTTTCGTGGGATACAAAATTGAATCGGTTTCCTCTGTGAAACTGATACTTCTTAGATTACCCCAGTAGTCCAGGAAATGAGGGTTTTGCCCTGGCAGTTTTTTTCAAAACGAATTGGTTAACTTGAAATTTTTACAGTAGGTAGGGAATAGCCTAAGGGTCAAAATCTATATCATGCCAAAGGGCGCTTTCACCCTGGAAGTGCTTGCCATCCCATCTCGGGGGTGGCAATTTTTTATTGTAATTTAAACACAGGAATAGATAGAAAAATTAATTCTAAGCAAAAAGTGTTCTATACATTTTTTTTGAATGTTAATCCTTCTCCAGTTATTCGTGACTGAAGGTATAAGTTTTTCTTGGAAAAGATCAATGTTTTTAGTTGGTTATTCGCTAAAAACTCGAAAAGTATGCATTTTAAAAAAACCTGTGGAGAATAAAATCGTAGCTTTTAAAAAAAACAAATGGTTTTTTAATAATTGCTGTATGACCATTATTATGGCTTATTAAAGGTTAGCTCTTGTTCGTTAAACGCTAAATTAGAGAGTTTCACAGTCAAATAACGGCAAAACTATATGCATTTTTTGAAAAAAACTTTATTCTTTAAAGTAGTCAAAAAACATTTCTTTTTTTTTAAACAAACTTTAACTTAAAAATTAAGTGAGTTACGATGAAAATAAGGTAGATCCGTACTTTTTTCGCCAAAAAAAACAGCGCAAGCAACCCCCTAATTACCGCCCTTATTAAAATTAGTCCTTCTCCTTTTCCAGTTTTCTCTATTTACGTTACGTATTGTTAATGATCAGTTTAGAAGAGTTAATTTTGAAATAATTGAAGTTAAAAGTGAGAACGAACAACTGGTGATACGTAAAAAATGATACAGCATCCAATTGTAGCAAATTTAATTCTCTTACCGGAAATTTTCTATACGACAAAAATGAATTGAGATATAAACGTTTAAAACGTATATTTATATGCTAGTACTACCTTGTTTTAGCCCTTTAAGCTCACCCCATTTTAAAACTGAGAGTTTTAAAGGGATTTGATGTAAATAGCCTTGTAGCTCTTGCAAAAACCTACAAAATAGATTTTTTAATGAACTTCCATCATAAAAAATAAAAGGGTTATGATTAAAAAACTACTCACACACAATATTTTTCGAAAAATTCTGAGAGCACAAATCGGAGTATAGTGATCTACATACACACTTACATCCATTCCATACAAGGTTGTTTTATTAGAAAGGTTGTCTGGAAACTCTAAACCAATAGAATGCTTGCATTTTGAAGGCGGGAAACGTCATCCAGAATACACATTTAAAATTGCCCATAGGTTACAATGCTAATAAAAGGGGTAAAAAATTTAGTTTTTGCAGTATATTTTTGGATTTATATGAATATATGTATTGCTGTGTTATTTCGTCTGGCAGGACGAAATTTTGGGATTCTTAACTAGAATGGACAAGGGCGGTTTCAATGTAATTAATTTTCTTAATTTAAATTTTTGTTTTGTATCGTTCGTTAAGTACATCAACAGAAATTATTGTTACGAAAAAGAGGTCAAGGTTTGTAGTGTTTACGTTTTAATCTCATTTTTGATTTTATTTAACGTAGATTTCTGAGAATTTTATATCGCTTTTATTTTGTTATCATTGTAAACGCTTAATTTAATTGACAGGTGGATGTTATTTATCGCCTTTTCATTGTATTTAAAAGATAGAAAATTCTATTTTTCCTAGTATTTTAATTTTGTGTTATCTCTTAATGTCGGTTAAAAATTGATTATAAAAATAATTTCTACCTCTAGTTTAACTTACGTTAGTGGGGAAATTTTCTGTTGGCAACTGCTTATCATTGGCTGTTTTAATTTGTAATTTTGGAAGAAGGGTTTCCACCTTAAATAGAACGGACGGAGAAGAGGAAGGGCTTTTTGCCACAGTTAACGCAGAACTACGTTTTTTTGTTTTGAAATCACCTAATATACGTCTTTATGCACTTCAAAATTCAACAAATTTTAAACAA